ATTTATTTTAAGTATATAGATTAAAAAATGTCAAAATGTTATGTTGTAGCTTCCTGTACTTAGAAATATTGTCTTGTATAACAGAATGATATCTCTACCAAAAAAATGAAAATAAGTACCACCACATAGGGAAGATATTTGAAATTAATTGCTGTTCTACTTCCATAAAGACAAATAGAAGAGATCATTTAGATAGTATTCCTGTGACTCCATTTGATATGTGAGAAGATGCTCCCAAGTATATCATAGAATTCTTGTATAAAAATCACTGAGTACGAACACCTGTAGTCTTGCATTTGAATTCCTATCACTCATGCATTAAGATAATAATAATTGATAATGGTAATTGTTAGCATTTTGTCTAAGCTCCACATCACAGTTACCTGACAATAGCCAGATATGCCTGACTCACTATAAAAGGAGTTGCTTGCCTCCTCTGCTCTCTCATGCTCATGCTCTTGCCTTCCTGTTCCTGTTCTATCCTCTTATCCCTTACCCTCTCTCTCCATGTGCTCATAGCTGGCCTCTACTTCTCTCTTCCTCTTCTCTCTGTCCTCCTGCCCCCTCTCTCTTTCTCTCTGCCTCTACTAGTCTTTAACTCCCCTCTCCATGCCCTGAATGAACTCTTTTTTATACTGTACCTCACCACATCCACCAAAACATATCCCTTGTATCTTTATCTTTTTATAAACACATCAGTAATAATAATAACAAATAAATGTGTGCATGGCCAGGAGTGTCTATAACCTTAGCACTCAGTGACAGAAATAGGTGGATCTTAAGGGCTGGCTAACAACACAGCCTAGACCCAAATACAAGTTTCTGGGTCAGTAAGAGATTGTCTCAAGGCAATATTACACACAGAGATAGCAAGATACTATTGTCTTGTTCAGTTCTCCGTATGTGTGTGTACATATATCTATGTATATCTATGTATGCTAATGTTCTTACAACACACACACACACACACACACACACACACACACACACACACACAGAGTTAAAGAGGTCATGACATTTAGAACTATTTACCCCTGTAAGCTAATCTCTAAAGGAACCCATCATTTTGGAAACATCTCCCTTCTACACTGAAACTACACATAAAAAATTAGAAAGAAGGAAACCAAATGTAACCACAAATACAATTCAAGGTTAGGTTATCTAAAACTACCTAAAACCTTTATTCCTGTGCTTTTATTCCTAACAGTGTTTTCTAAACCTAAATATGAAGATTATCCTACATCTGATCAACATTTCCTTGTTTCAAGAGCAGATACCCAATGAGTGACAAGGCAGCACAAGCATGTGGATTTGAGTTCAACCCCTAGAACTCAAGCAAAAAGCCAGCTGCACCAATTTGTGCTTGAAATCCAAGCATGGGGTGGGAGCAGGAAGGAGAAATAGAGACAGGAAGATCCCTTGGGTTTGTTTGTCAGTCATCTTGGCCAAATCAGTAAACTACAATTTAGTGAGAGACTGACACAAAAAGTGGGGGTGGTAATTGAAGAGGATACCCTAGCTTCCCCTCTGTCCTCAAAAGTCATATACACAGCATATGCATAGGAATGAGCTTACCCAGGTTCAGGTATAGAGCTAGCCTGCCCTTCTGGAGTTCCAGGGTGATATGGTCTCCACGTTGTCCTTCTCCATGAAACAGGACTCCATCTCCTTGCATGGTCTTGAACTTCAGGGAGATCACATCTTTGAGAGTGCTCATCGTCTTCTGATTGAACCTGTATAAAAGTGAGCTCCGGCCATCAAAGTCAGCTATGTCTGATCCTGGGAGCAGAGAGAGAAGAGAAAGAAACATCGGTTTTTCCTCATGGCAGCTATTTTTGCTTCTCATCTTTGATGCTGCTCAGTTCACAGGAATGTTCCTGAAATCTGTAAGATCTCTCTTACAAGGAGGCACATAGAATAGAACCAACCTAAGTAGAATCCAAGGAATCACTCATTTGTAGGCTGAGCATATACACCAGACTGAAGTAGAAACACCTGTTAGTGATTGCTGAACAAAACAAGAACAGCAGCGTGTCCAGGAAGGGAGCTGTGACATAAGAGGGATAGCATAAGACAAAATTAACGAAGGGACCTAATTCACTCCATATTAGAACAGGCAGCCATGTTAGGCCTTAGATTCAATTTTCCAGAAGAACAGTCAAGGCTTCTTGGAAAAGATACATCAAAGGGGCAGCCAATCAGCAACTGCCATGACATCTGGCCAAGAGCTTACAACAGATATGAAAAAGTCCTTATAATGTAACCTCTCCCTCCCTGGAGTTATGAACCAATCAGAAGTGTACAAATATCACATACCATAAGCTCAGCAAATCCTGGTGAAGATTACCCAACCAAAACCAGAAAAACCATAACTGGCTTTAAAAGGGGCCTGTGAGCTTCTTTTGTGGTCACCATTTTGCTTGAATGATTGATCCCCATATGCTGACTTTTTTTTGCAGAATGTCTCTTTGTCTTTGCATACCATCAAGTCTGTGTTCTTCTTTCAATAACTCTTTGATTCTTACAATACAATATCTGGAGATCAAGAGATGATGGAGCCTTAGAAGTAAGGAGAAGCTTGCTTTAAAGCCTGGAGAGGAGCTTCATAACATTAAGAATAAAGGGAATATAGGGAGAGTGAGAAAAATATATAGCTGCTATGCAAGGGATACTGAGACAGGCAAGAGGAGCCTCCTCAGACAGGAGTGTTACAGCTTCTGTGAAGAAATACCTCTGAGGATTCTTGGTCCTATTTCTTGAACAAATAAAATATCTGCTATTTTATACACACACACACACACACACACACACACACACACACACACACACACGGACTGCTTCTTAAACAATGCCCCCAGTGAGAGTTGCAGGGAACTGTGGCCTGATTGGGCTATGTGAATAAAGGTGCAGGCTCCTGTTCTAACTGTTGTGCTGCTGGACTCTAGTTGGACTGTAAGATCCAAAACCAGGGGACAGGCTTCCACAGAAACTAACAGACAGGACTCACTGCAATCAACATGAGGTTTGGTTTAATGAAACTAGTACACTAGGACTCTCTTGCATGCAGGCAAGAGCTGAGTACAGTACTTATGGGCACAGTACAATTCACGAGGGCAAACCACAAAGTCTGACCTTTCCAGGTTCCGTCCCTAGGTGACACGGAGTGTCCTCCATTTGCCCAGGTTTAATACATTAAGGGCACAGCTTCCTGATACCTGAAATGTATCTGTGTGCTCTGGGCCTTCCTCTCCTGCAGGTGGGTTCCCTTCCCTGTGGTCTGAGGAATGTTAATCAGCCTCTCCCTTCCTCCTCTGAATGTTAATCCAGCAAGTGTCCTCTGACTAATGAATGTGCCCCTCCCTCTGGGATATGTCCTGGGACAGTGGAATTCTTTTCAAACTGAGACTCGAAAATCCTACATTTAGACCCAAAAGTCTTACAGTGCCAGTCTATGCATAAGGAGACAGGATAGCAATGCCACAGGCACCTGCATCAGCCTTTTCTGGGACCAGTGCTTGGTTTGTAATAACCTCTCACGACTTATACTTCTTGCTAATTTGATTCTGACATTTGATTATTTGATCTCTTTATCCTAAGCTCCAGGCTGGGGTTGAAAAAGAAATATCCTTTATTATGAAATCTCTCAATGATTAATTCACTCTTTTCTAGAACTCAGTCTTGAGAATTCTGAAGAGTCTTTGGGGTTTAGTGGGAAAGAATAGCCAGTATGGTAATGATTTGAACAAAGTGGTAATATGATATATATATATATATATTATTCTGGACTGTTAATGTACTATTTTAAGATTTTATACAAAACATTCAGTCACTATTTTTATGTTTTAGCATTTATTCTTATCTGTGATAATTTGAAAATTAAGTCTTAAGCAAATATATATGATAACATGGAATCTGTCAATATGTACATATATAGTTTGATGTCAACTTAGAATTATTAAATAAATGTTATTTATTAAAAATCTGATGCAGGTCCCTATGGCACTGCCATTCTATTTATCTAGTTTCTGAAACACATGCTACTTTGTTGGGAAGTATAGCCTGTTTTCACTTCACATAACCTGTGGGGTGGTGGGATGTGAGAAGTAGCTGGGTGCGTGGTAGAGCATAGGCCTCAAACCCTGGACCCTTATCTGACTGCAAGTGTTTGACTCTGCTCCCAGGCCATTTTTTTTTTTTTTTCATTTAGCTTCAGCCCTCCACAGCCCCTCCCACAGAGAGGTCTAAGGCCATAGGTCAGGAGGAACTGTGCCTCAGGCTCTCCTACATGTAGATGAGGTACCTCCAAGCTCTCAGAGCAAGCCAATAGGCATTATCTGCTGCCAGACCCTAACCCACCCCGAAACTGTATATAAGGGCTCTATTCAGGAGAAGTAAAGGTGTGCGAGAATCATCCATGTCCGAGACTTTCTGTCACAAGACCTGTAACACTTGGGAAGAGATCTGGTCTCCTGGAACCTGCCTGGAACACCAAGCTGCCTCTTTGCCAGCTAGTCGGCTTCTTATCAGCCCAACCCAGGCTGGCTCCGCAAGGAGAGACAGGTGCAGCACCTGGGAGTGACCGGTTGGTGACAGCTGAGTTGCGAGCAGAGGCATTAGCAGAGGCATATGATGATCTCTCCTTCCTGCTCACACTTTGTCCCCTTGGCCTGGACCCCCGCACCAGGCCTGGCTGGAAATCGTTGTGAGACGCCCTCTGGAACAGGGGACCCACAATAACCTACTCACCCATTATGATGTTAGAGTAGAGATTAGCTCAGCCTCATCGCTATGGTAAAGAGTTGACCATATTGAGGTAGCTAGGTTTATTATAATATGAATGGAGCTATTGACCCTGCTTAATAACAGGAGGTGGGGGGGGGCGGGTCACAGGACCTTTTTCTAGAAGTCAAGCCATTATTCCTTTCTGCCTTCCCCAGCTGAGATTGATCTTGTGAGATTCCAGCACATAGGGATTTGAGGTTACAGAAGAGGGACACTGCACAGCTCTCATGAGGTTGTGATCCCATCCACAACAGAGAGAAAGTTTGTCATGGAGCAGCCATTGTACTATTACCACTGATGCACCTTTAGTTAACTCCTTATCAGTGCTCTGTAAGAATACTAAACTACTTTTTGTTTGTCAAACTGGGCTTTGGTGGTATCCTTATTTTGGTCTATCTTCTATGCACTATCTGGGGTGAATAGACATTTGTTCACATCTTCCCAGGGAAAGATAACATGAGAATTTCAAATTATAATTATGAGTTTTCCTTCACACCATTACCAAAAATAAACTTCAGAACTTTAGTTAATTCAACTTCAACTTGGTTATATTTTGTTCTTTTTCACCCCTTTCTTCCTACTACCACCCTTTAAATCCCAGCCCTTTACTCTTAGTTTTCTTGAGATGAGCTGGGCCAAATTCAATGGATGATATCACATAGCAATTGGCATTATATTCCAGCTGAATTTCATTTATCATATTGTCCTCGAGTTCTGTTGATATGGAACCCAGATAGTGAAAGTCAAGAAGACTTGATCTAAACAAATTTTTGAAGTATATGCATATACAAAAACTGACAAGTGTCTATCAAGATATCAGGTGGAGAAAATTATTTAATTGTGAGTATGTCTGTGTGTGTGTGTGTGTGTGTGTGTGTGTGTATAAACATTCATGCACATGTGCAGGTTTGCCCATGCTGCATGTGGATGTTAGATTGACACTGGGTGTCTTCCTCACTCACATTCTAGGCTCATATAGCCCAGATTGTTCTTGAATTCACAATATTACTGAGGATGACTTTGAACTTCTCATCTTCGTGTCTCTATTATTTAAGTGCTAGGATTACAAGAGTGTACCATGTGCCTGGTTTTATGCAGCAATGAGGAGAACTCAAGGCCTTGTGTATGGAACATACTCTCTCTTCCAGTTGACTAGGCTCCCCAGCTCTCATTTTTCAGCGAGAATGGTTCTGAACAATTAAGAAGACTGGATGGCCAGTGAGCTCCAGGGATCTCATTCTACCCCAAGGCTGAAATTACAGAAGTGTGTCACTGAGCCAAGCTTTTTAAATGTGTGCTGAATTAATATCGCCGTGCTTGTACAACAAGCACTTTGCCACTGAGCAATTTCCATAGCTCCTTGGAAGAATTATTATAGGTTACTTGTATATTCTTTCTCTATTTTTATTACAAAAAATTATACTGTAAAATGTTATTACTTCTATAATACAAAAAATGTAAGACTACTTAATTAAAACTTGGAATGGATTCATCATATAACATATTAGCAGGGTGAAACTGAGGTGAAGGGCTGTGTGGACAGGATATAATTATTCTTATTTGAAATCCAGAAGCCAGTAAAACTCAGTTTTTCAGGATTTACTAGGAATTAAAAAATTCCTAGACTCGCCGGGCGTTGGTGGCGCACGCCTTTAATCCCAGCACTTGGGAGGCAGAGGCAGGCGGATTTCTGAGTTCGAGGCCAGCCTGGTCTACAGAGTGAGTTCCAGGACAGCCAGGGCTATACAGAGAAACCTTGTCTCGAAAAACCAAAAAAAAAAAAATTCCTAGACTCAGTATTCATAATGAAAACTTAATCATTTTTCTTCTTCAAGGATATAGAATTATTCTTAATAAACAATTTTTGAAAGGAAGAAAATTATGATTTCCTGTAATTACCTTGAAAATAAAATTCTATAATTTATTATTTACATTTGCAGTTAACAACAATGCCCTTGAAGACTACAGATTATAAAAAGCAACTAGTCAGATGCAGG